GGGAGTCCAGAGGAAATAAACAGCTTTAGGGAATAAATAAACCTTGGAGAGAAAAGTTAATCAAAATACAGTCCGTGTAACAATTAGGTACTGATAGCCAAATCGAAGAATAAGAAACAAACAACAGTTATGTTAAATATAAAACACATTTAGTACAGTTACAAGAGAAAGCTTAAATGACTTCTCAGTGTTTATCAACTAGGTCTCTATAGTGGATAGGATGTTTGCAAATGTTTTAGTAACCCACACATCTCTGCTCTGATGTGACTCTGTTTTGTTAGTTATTCCAACCAATGAAGTTCAACAAGAATTTACTGCATACCCTTGGGAAGGCAATGCCTTTTCTACTGAATTCATTGAAATCCTTGATAAATTTTTAGAAAGAAATAGTTGCATTTTCTGTGTTTACTAACTTTTTAGAAAAGGAAATAGCAGCCCACTCTTTTGGTATTTGTTATTCACATGGCTAAAGAAATTCTGGAACTTACCAACCATGTATTTTGGGAAAAAGAAAAAAGAGCCTAAAATGGAAAATACCAGTTTTTTTTTGTTTGTTTTTTTTTAACCACAGGACTCAAAAGAGCCTTAAAGTTTACTTGTACTTGAAAAAAAATCCTAGATTTTTCTTAAAATCTTTCAGAAAGTTTTGCTATCTCCTTTGTGGAAAATACCAGTTTTTTTTTGTTTGTTTTTTTTTTTAACCACAGGACTCAAAAGAGCCTTAAAGTTTACTTGTACTTGAAAAAAAATCCTAGATTTTTCTTAAAATCTTTCAGAAAGTTTTGCTATCTCCTTTGAGAACTCATTGCATCTTAAAATTCCTTTTTCATGGGTAATCAAAATTGTACTGGCTGCTATAGGCCCCTTCTCACTGACATCTTGAAACAAGGATGAAATTCTTCATCACACCTTATTTGCCTGATAGAGGATATGAGCAACTCCCATATTCACTTACCTGGACAACTCGTGACTACTATTTAAGAAGATGGGAATAAAGGTGTTAGTGTTGATCTGCATATTAAGAAGAAACTTAATTTCTCTTTTATAAATAATACCCCACTCAAAATCAGTTCCAGTATCTTTTTTCCACACCTTGCCTATTCCTGGAATGTGCATATACCACATTGGAGGCTACTATTGAACACCAGTGCTATTCATTTCAAAAGCTATCTTTGTGTGTGTGTGTGTGTGTGTGTGTGTGTGTGTGTGTGTGTGTGTAATCATTCTTTACATGTTTAGGTTATGTCTAAACATTTTGGGGGTTCTTAGAAACATTGCAATGCTATTTAAAAGTAGCAGCATAAACAGTATCACCAATTAGCTTTTCTATGAGTCAGAGTTCAACCAGAGAAAACAAAACCAGTAGGATATATATGTTAAGGGGTTTATTGCAGGACATTGATATGTGATTGTGGGGGGCTGGCTAGGTATGTCTGAACTACACAGGGCAGGCCATCAGGAAGCGGGGCTGGAACTCCCAGGCATGAGCTGAAGCTGCAGTCTGCAGGTGGAATTGCTTCTTCCGGGGAGTTTGACTTCTGCTCCAAAGGCCTTTCAACTGATTGAATCAAGCCTTCTCCCCACCCCCAGGCAACCTGGAATAATATCCCTTAAGGCCAGCTGATTATGGACTTTAATCACATCTACAGAACACTTTCACAACAACACCTAGATTAGATTAGTGTCTGACTGAGTAACTGGTACTACCGCCTAACCAAGGCGACTCATCACAGGTGACCATTATCTTTGTGGTCAGAGAGCAGTCACACAGTATCAGTCCTTTTACATTCATATGAAGACAATATTTAGTGTAAAAATTCAGCTGCTGTATCCAATCCAACCTCGACAATTTGTTTTTAAACAAAGTGTAAGATGCAAAATTAAATAGAACTCTGTTATACAAAGTCCACTAAACCTGCATCTATTGATGCTGATGAGTGGATAGATTTCTTTCTAGACTAGGCCCTGGACTATGATCAATAAAAATGTACATAGAACTTACTACAACATTCCACAATGATGCATAACTTTTTAATAGCTAATGATTTATAAACATTCTGATATAATAAAGCCATATCAGGTACCAAAATACAGTCCCTCTTAAAACATGGGTTTGCATTTACCAAAGATTCTGTTCTGTGACAAAGGAAAATATATTTAACATGATCAACAGCAGTAAGTAATGCTCTCATCTTAGTCAATGAAAATCTTTATGAAGAGTCTGGAAAAATAACTGGATGTAGCACTTATTGGACTGTCAGCAGCTGGGTGACAAGGGGCAGAAGTGCCTTTGCAGGTCTGAGGACAGAATTAGGGATGGGGTAAACATAAACTAGATGGTCTTGAAAGAAAATAAACACAGGTACTTGTTAGGGTTGCTGAAGGAGGTATGCACGAGGCCAAAAGTGGTGAGGGATTATAAATTTATATCTGGAGACCAGATGGGCTGAGCCCCCAAATGGTGCCAGCAATCCGGGACCAGGAGTCAGAGATTTTTAAAGGACTCTAGACAGGATTTTTCGGTGGTGAACTCTCTGGGTGGGTCTGGATTCTGGGAAAGTCCGGAGGGGAAATGGTCTTAGCAAGTGGAATATGGTCTAAGGGAAAGGGAACGTCGGTTGTGAAGTGGTCTAAAGGTCAGTTCCCAGGGGACGAGGTATTGATTCAATTATTTGGTCAGAACTAACAGCAATCTCAGTAGATATACCCTAAATAAATTATTAATAAAGTGAGGAGACACTCAATTTCGAAGGAAATTTAGATACAAATATTTGTTCTGCAAGGCACTGGAGGGGTCAGTGATCTGAATTGTTAATCATACAGACCTGAAAAAAAATCCCACAGGTCAGAAATATGTCCTGGCACAAAACTGTTCCTCGAATAGGCTCTCTGAGGGGCGAGGAGCATAGGAGCAGGTTTTGAGGAGAGAAAGAAACCTAAGGGGTTTGAAGAGGAAGACCTTTAAGAAAAGGCTGGAAGGGATGGAATATTTGATAGGCAGCAATAAAAAGTTACTGAACAATTTAATAACAATGGTCACCTGTATAAAGGATCATTACACAGATTATGGAGGTTAAATTTTATTTCTATTTTGCAAGGGAAAAAGCATAAGCTACAGTACAAAAGATTTGGTTTCAATATAACAAATTCAGTTTCAATGAACAAAATCAGTCTTGAGAGTCATTGATATTAAATAATGGAATAGGATACAACAGATGGTGCAGGACCTCAAAGATACAGAGCTAGCCCCTGATATGCTGATGAAAGTAAGGGAAGGCTAGAGATGGTAATTTTGGTCCCTGCCAAGGTCTCCTGCTGATTTCTGTGGGTGACACTTTTCTGCTCTATAACTGTGTGAAATGCTTGGTCTCTCAGGTCGCATCTTGTTTGGGCTTGTATTATTCCCATGGCCTTCTTTAGACTTGATAATCATTAGAGGAATTCAGCTGTAGGCCTGAGCTTTTACAAAAACACCTCTCTCATTTTCTCTTCCCTGAGTTTCAAGAAAGCCTGACTTTGTGCTTGCTTTAGATGGATTTGAAAAGCCCCGTCTTCTCGAGTAGGTGCCTTCTCAATCAATAAACCCGTCGTTACTCCAAACTTTGACATACTGAATATTGGCCTTTTTAAAGCGTTGGGTACATGAACTTTTGGACACCTCTATTAACACTGCATGCCTATGATGAGAGTTGAATTCCCTTTGGTGTTATCAACTACTCACATGGTCCTCCCTCCAAAGGAATACTTGCAAGTGGTTTGCATTCTCCACAGCGTAACAGAGGTATATGGAGATCCTCATAAATTTTATAAAATATCGAGTTAATCGATCCTACTTTGAAGAAATACCATTGAAGATTAGATTTCCTTTATCAAAGTAGCCAGGCTTAAAATGCATTGCTTGCACTGCACTGTTTTAATGACATTTCATTTTTACATTGGCATGCCAGTTAAAAATTATAAAGTGGCATATTATTGTAGGATTTTATTTAAATTCTAGAAAAACTGAAAGATATGTTTTACTCAATTTAATTAAACCTGAGGTCATTTAACATAGGTGATTTTGCATTTCTTACAGATTATCCTTTGAGGTTCATAATTATAAAGAACTCTAGCACACTAAACCTTGGGAGAACTGGCAAATGATGGCAGGGAAAGATTTCAGGGACCCGTTTCTTCCTTTGTCCACTTGAAAGGGTAGCTTGAGGTGATGATTAATCTCACATTGCCAAATTCAGTGCCTAAATATTTTGATAAGTACTGTTAAGTTTAATAATTATTTGTAAAGTATTTGTCACTTTTACATGTTGAATTATTATGTCAAGAGTTTTTAGTTTGTTGTGATTAATGTGATAGGGAAGGGACCAATCGTTAAAATCAAATGCATGGATCATGCTGCTGAGAGCACATATACAAAGAGGAAAGTTGAAGCTGCAATAAACACAGTAAAGCTCTTGGGTTTGAAGCAGACGATTATGGAATTAGAAAGATTATGGTACATGTATTTTACATTGTATGTAAAGAAGTCTTTTCAGTCTTATAAGCTAACCGACCCACTTAAGAGAAAATGGTTCCCTACGTCCAAACATACTTTAAGCTCTCTAAGGACTGGAATGAGCTCACTATTTCTCACTGTTGTATTAGCACAGCACCCATTTACGAACTACTATTTATAAGCACAGTGATATTTCAGAGAATATAAAATGATGGAAGAAGGAAACAAAAAAGTTCTTTGTTTGCAGCCAAGTGTGGGGGTTAGATCTATATTTGTTTGAATAATTATTTGGAAGAATTGTCACAACTGTTTTAAAGAAGTAACAAATGTCTGTAACATAAACAATTCTGCAGTATAAACAATTCTGACATCTTTTGTTGAGAGACCAAACCAAAAAAACAAAACAAAACAAAAAAAACCAAAACACTCACACAAAAAACCCCCAAACAAATAAAACCACACTGTATGTTCTACAGCTTAGAAATTAAACAAATCCCCAAATTTCAACTTCCACTAAAATATTTATTTAATTGATACCTTACAGAAATAAATAAGAGCAGTTTTTCCTCTAACACAGACAGGCATATTTATATGTATGTATGTATATATAGAGAGATTTTTTACAAAATTGAAGCATATCAAATTGCTTCCCCTACAACTTTAGCTCAAAAGGAATACTAGGAAACAAACAGAAATACTAAAATATGCTCATCATTAGTTATAACCATGGGCGTCTGAATCTCAGCGAAACAGATGAGTGAGAGGAAGAACGTGAGAGCTGGAGTCAGGGGACCTGAGCTGCATGATCGAACTGGTATGTATCATAGGCACGTTTCTCAATATTTCTGAACCTCAGTTCTTCTTTAAAATAGAAATGATGTTAATCATATCAACTTCACAAGATTGTTGGGCAAATTAAACACGTGAATGTACAGGAAAGCTCTTTGTAACATGCAAAGAGCTATAAAAATAATAGTTCTGTTTAATCTCATATAAAAGAATCAGTGCATATCTCCCTTCACCAAAGAATAAGCACCAAAAATGTGTGTGTGTTTCTTCAGCTAAATTATCTCAAACCTAGAAAAAGAAACTGCACCTTAACTAAGCACCAGAGCATCTCGGGCAATATGATTCAGGGGATGTTTCCATTACAGTTTTCTGTGTAGCTAAGCAGAAGCTAATGAGTCCTGAGGGTCATTTAAAACTTTGAAGGCTAAAACAAAACAAAACAAAACAAAACAAAACAAAACAAAACAAAACAGGAGCATTTGTATTATATCAAATGGCTAAGATTTAATAAGCTACTATTCCTTAGTTACCAATTTCAAAGTCCATTAATTCTTCACAGAAGAAGAAACACTAAGTTATTAGCACTTGCAATTATTTGCTGATGTAAATATGATATTCTCTTGTTTCAAAGATAAAATACTGGTCCTTGAGATAAGTATTAGTGGAATAAAATAACAAACCCGATCGTAAATTTAGATATTTCTGGTTAAAAATCTAGTTACATACACAAGAACACGGGAAAGGAAAGAAATGCAAGACATCAGTATAATAATGATTATTAAAAAACCTGCCATATTTCCATGTCATAATAAGAACTAAAGGTACAAAAATTGTGATATTTACAGATACATTAATCTTAAAACATGTAAAACTTAACAACAAGAAAAAATAAAAGTAGAGAGAGCAGGTTAATTTTAAGATAAATATTAATTCATTTAGAAGCCCTATTTAAAGTTAACTGCTTACACTGACACTATTTAACATGTAATAGAAACAGGAAAAGTGTTGCAAATTTTTGTGGCAAGATACAGAGAAAAGAAATAATTGCCTAATATTAAGTTATTGTTAGGAGTTGTAGTACTGTAGTTACTATGTATGGAGTTAGAGTCTAAACCTACTTAAATAACTAGGAGTTAATGTAATTCATTATCTACTAAAAATAGTATTTACAAGATATTGCTGAGTTATGTGCTAAAGATACTGACGGCCCTTCCAAAAATGAGATTCGTGTTGGTTGTATAACCAGGTCATACAAAACTAGGCTAGTTTACTTTCTCATGTTCCAACTCTTTTTAAGACTGACCTTATCAAAAGAAATGTACATAGTACCTGCCTTCATTCACTCAGATATAGTCTTCAGAACAAAAATAAATGTTTTATTAGGAGTGAAAAATTAAAACCTTTACATATCTTCTGGAAACAGCATATTGAAAAGGTCTCCATGACTACTGGGACACTGTACATCTGGAAAAGAAGGAAATCCATTTGCCTAAGGACAGTGGATACTGACATCTAGTGGATAGTTTACTTGTGACTTTGCTCTACAAGCTACAGCAGTTTTTAAATACATTGACGTTTGCAGACTGAATCAGGTGCACTTCATTCAAGTTCTTCAGTGTCTTTGGTAAAGAGGTCTGCCAGATCAGCCACGGTCAAGACAGAGGCCTCTGGATGCTTCGCCGATGAGCTGGTGTGACTGCAGGATTTTCCAGGTGCAGAGTCAGAAAGAGACCCCAAGGAGTAAATGATTTCATTTGTCTTATCTATTGTTCTAGCCTTATAATACTATAACATATAAGAATATAAAGATAGTATATTCTTACAATAATATAAGGATTACTTGTCCTCAAGTTTTTTTTACCTGAGTCATAAGAAACTCCCAGAAGAAAGTAGGTGATGGGAACATTATTATATCTTGTTAAAATTAGTGAAGACTTCTATATATTATTTTCAGGCTTTGTCATAAAATGCCTTTTCTTTGCACAATTAATAAAACAAAGAAACAAAACCTCCCCAACTGTTACTAAGGCTCCCACCTTACAATTTACCTTCTTATTATCACAAGTTAATTGGCTTCAAGAGAACTTCAACACATCTTCTAATTGCTATTTTATTGAAGCAGCTTAAATATAATCACTGAATTCTGTTATGTATGGAAACAACAACAAAAAGCCTCATGCTTGAGGCAAAAACTCTGGTGGTCACCTCCTTCCTTCCCTTAAACACCGATGGAAGACAATGTCTGGTTTCAAACTGCTTCTTTGCCACCTATGCAAAGTCCCCCCATCTCTACTGCGTGTACTTTCTAAAAACACCTATCTCATGAGGATGCAGTAAAGCATTTGTTTATGTTTTCAAATGACTTTAAAGAACAAAGTTATGGAATAAATATTAGGAAGTTTTAGGATTCCAAAGCTGAGTTTTGAAAATTAAGGCTGCTTTGGTCTCTGCTGCTGTTCTGCCTTTGGAGTTAACACCACGATTACCAGCAGAGTTTTAAGTCCAGATCTTCCTCTCTGTGTGTGACTAACACACAGAGAGGTTCAAGCAGCAAGTCAGTGTCATTTTACAGACATCAGACCAAGGCTTTTAGGTGGGGCATGAAGATGGATATCATTTAAAAGTCTATTGTGGCAAAGAACAATAGGATAGTTTAAACATTTTAATACATTACACTCCCTATTAATACGTTATGTCATATACAGAATGAGCACTAACTGAAAAATTTTGACTAGGTAAAATGCCATACCTTAGTTTTAAAAGGTATTTGCACTTGTATCTTTTTGTTGACTAAGTGGTCATCTAAGTGAAAAAGCTCTTATATATAAACAGAAAAACTTCCCCATCCACTAAGTAAACTGTCACCTACCTCCTCTCAGCAGTTTTCAGCATTGCTTGCATTCTTTCTTCTATTGTTGCTTTAATCAAGAATCTGTGTACAATAGTAGGTCTAGGAGGTACATAAAAATTACAAGTTTAAAACCATCTTAAAACTAATGGGAACAAACACACTTCGTTTTGTATATGCTATACCATCAGTCAGTTGGCAGGTAGTAACCAAGGTGCTAGGGGGGGATGGTGGTGGTTCAGCTCATTAAAATGAACTATTTAATCTCAATGAACTCACATATAAATGAGGGGAGACACAATGAACACATAAACAATTATGATATTTTCAGGTACAGATAATGCCAGGAGGAGGCTGACATGAGTTGAAACATGACTGATGGTAATGAGACCACTAAGCAAAGGAGGAGTGGGAAGAGTATCCCAACAGAAGAAACAGTAAATAAATGCAAAGCCCCAGAAAAAAACATGCTTGGTTCAAGCTTAAAATGTTCGAGAGGCGGAAAGAAGGCTATGGTGGCAGAAACATCCTATAGAGAGAGAGGTGAAAGCAAGACTGGAGAGGTGGGCACAGGTCAGAGCATGGGTCTTGTAGGATACGGCAGGAATTTGGGTTTATTATGGTTATAATAGGAATCCACAGTGGATTTTATGTGTGATTTGAGTTACACTTGGTTCTACTTCAGAATCCTGTGGGCTGCAGTGCAGGCTGGACTGGTAGGCAGCAAGAGTGAGACAGGGAAGCCAGTTAAGTTCTGCAGTCGGCCAGGTAAGAGGGTGGGCTGGACCTTGGTTGTATTAGTGAAGGCAGTAAGCAGTCAGTAGATTTGGAATATTTTGGGGAGATGGAGCTGACAAGACCGAAATAATGTTTGGATACGAGGTATGAAAGAGAAATATGGAAGAGTCCTAGATTTCTGGTTTCAGAAACTACAGATGATAGGGCCACATTCTAAGATGGGGCAGCCTTGGGGTGGTGGCAGGCGGTAGGAATAGTTTTGTTTTGCCCATGTTAATCTCAAGTTTTCTATAAGACAGGCATCCAGGGGAGGTGTAGTGTCCACAAATCCAGGTACCGAGATAGAAGTAGATGGATGCATCTGGGACAGGAGCCAAAGGGACGTGTCTGGAATATACTGAGCCTCCCTATTACTACAGATGAACCATCTGCGCTTCTGCCTAAAACCAGTCTCTACACTGAGAATTACACCTCTTGCCCACTCAAAGGTACTAGCCCAGCATTCTCCCCAACTCCTGCCTCATTAGTTTTTCTGTCTCTAATGCATCATTCTCCTATTATTTCTCTCATATGAAAAGGGGAAAATAACACAACTCTCTTGATACCACTTTCTTCCTTTTCTCTCCTCTCTGCAGCAAAACTCACACTAGTCCCACCAGCTCTACAGTCCGCAGTGCATTGTGGTTAAAAGCATGGAGTGCTGAGGCAGAATGGCTGTTTGAAACTTGCCACCACTTTACTAGCCATGTGACCCTGGACAAGTTACTTAACCCCTCTCTCTTATAAAAGTGTTTGTTAATAAATAAATAAAATCCTATTCTATCTTACACTCACACCAGGCCCTCGCCTCCACCACTCCACCCAAACTGGTTTTGATCTCCATGCTGCTAAGTCTAAGGATCAATTCTCAATCCTTACTTTACTTGACATTTGGACAGTACATGACACAGTGGATCGTATTCCCCTTCTTGAGTTACATTCTTTACTTGGCTCTCAGGACATCTCCCAGTTTTCTTCTTAATGCACTGTTTGATCTTTATCTATCCTCTTTGCTGGTCTTTCCTTTTCTCCCAGAGCCTTAAACTTTGGGGGGCTCTGGAGTTTCATCTTTGGTCCTTCTCTCTACCTACAGTCTCTGTTGGTAACCATATTTAGTCTCAAGACTTAAAAATACCATTATATGCTGATGGCTTCCAGATGTATCTCTCTAGTCCAGACTGTTCTCCTGAACGCTGGACATCTATATCTAATTACAGAACAGACATCTCCATTTGGATGTCTAATAACATCTCGAACTTATATCTACAATGAAGTTCTGCCGTTCCCTCCCCGAGTCCTACAGCCTTCCCCAGGCCCACAGAAAGCAGCTTCATCCTTTGGTTGTCCAGGCCAACACCATGCGTTAACCTGACTCTCACACACCACGTCCAGTCCGTTCACAAATACTACTGGTTCTACTTTCTAAATAAATCCAGAACTTGACTGCGTTTCACCATTTCTACTACTGTTAACATGGTCCAGATTACCTTCTACTCTCACCAGGATTCCTGCAATTGCCTTCTAACTAGTCTCCCTGCTTCTAGCCTCCCTTGTGCCCCCACTCCCTCCCCATGCCCAAACATGACATTTGGAATGACTGTTTCAACACTTACATTAGCTCATGTCACTCCTCTGCTCAAAGCCTTCCAATGGCCTCTGGGCCCTATATAGTCCTCCACACACACACAGAGCCCTCCAGCCAAACTCTCTGACTTCATCTCCTATTTCTTTCCTCTTTGCTCCCTCTACTTCAGCAACTCTGGCTCCTTCCTATTCCTAAAACACACCAGGCATACTCCTGACTAAGGGCCTTTGCACTGAGTGTACTGTCTACCTAAATAGTCTTCACTAACGTATCTGCTGGGCTTTCTTTATCTCACGTCTCACCTTGGTTCAGATATCACCTTCTCCACAAGACCCCCATGCTGTCCTGGCCAGCCACCTGCATTCTTTATCCTCCTTACCCAAGTCTACTTTTCTAACTCCTAACACAGTATATACTTTTCTTATTATGCTTATTGTTAACCATCTGCTTCTCTAACAACTTTTATAACCAGGATTTAAGCCCCAGTATGGGCATCTCAAGCACCCAGAACTGTGCCTGGCAGACAGGTGCTCAATATAAATTCACTGAATGAAGTATGTAGATATTGATACAGGAGACTGTTCAAGTTGGTGATGGAAAGAGGAGGCACTTCTAATCTGATTGTATCTGATTTCCCTGTATGAGGCTAGATCGTTGTCAAAGGGCAGGAGGAAGATGTAGAAGACTTAAGATAGTCTCCTTAGAAAGTAGGACAATCTATTTACTAGGGAAGCATGGTTGAATTGTCAGGTAGTGTTAAATGTTCTTTTAGACTGTGGCCTTACATCAGAGAAGAGTCCAGTGCATGCTTTAGAAACATCGATTAGACAAGAAGTCTATGTTTAAAAATATAAGACAAAAAAAAACCACCCCATAAAAACAAACAAGACATAACTGCATTTTAAATGATACTTGGTAGTACTGTAGAATAAACCTGCATTTATTGTATTACTTTGCGATATTTTGCTAAGCATTTGCTTAATATTAAGTCATCATTTATTCTCTCAGTTATTGCTCAAAGAGCAGTCCATGTGTCTGAGCCTGGCCCAGGAAACCTCATCTCCTGCCACTGCTCTCCTCATACCTTACATCTCAGCAATTGCAAACTCCTTACTGTCCCTAGAAACATTATGTTGGTTATCTCTTCTGTGTTTCTGAAAATAAGACTCTCTTTGGCTGTGCGAACACCCCTTTTTAGCCCAACTTTGAAATAATTATTCCTTCAAGACTAAACGTAATAAAGCTTTTTCTGACTCTCTAGGGCACAAACTGCTCACTCCCTTCTTTTGTTACCACAGTACTTCTATTATATTTTTGCACATTGTACTGCAATATATTCAATCATCCATTTCCTGTACTACATGTTAACCTCATTGGGGACAACAGATTATGTCTTTTTCAACTTGACTCTTCAGTATCCAGCACAATGGTGTTCAATCAATATTTACTTAATAAGTTCTTCATATAGATGCATTTTTTTTGAAAAACATTCAAGGCATCTAACATCCAGGAGGTAATACATCTGAGCGACCTTATAAAGAATAATGGTCCATCTTGATACTTGAATAAAAGTAGTCCATACTATATGATATATACTATTAGGTTTGCTTTGGGCTTTAAACTAAATCTAATTATCTCTAAGAGTAGACCTGTCTTAGAGTGAGGCTGTCTTTTCCTAAGGGGAAGAATTTAAAAGGGAGATATTTGTGTTCAGTCATGCATGAAATATGACTTCTTTTAAATACAAACTACCTGAGACAATAAAAAATCAATTCTTCCCAAAGTTATGATGGATGCCTTCAACTTTGCAGTTGTCTTAAGCAGTTTAAGAAACTTCTTTGACAAAGTATCAGGGTAGTTTGTGAAGGAGCAAAGGCAAAAATCTAGGAGAATTTGGGGGTTTGTTGCTTGGAGGAGGGAGGGTTGGAAACCTCTCAAAATGTCCTTTGGTTATATAATACTTGAAAATTTAATAAATGAGGAAGAGATTAAAAATGAATAGGTTATGATGAATACAAATGAAGAGTCTTAGGAACTTGAAGCAAACACGACTGATATTAAAGTCCTTACTTTGTTTGTCCAATTCGGTGCACCCTTCCTATGGCCTGAAGCTCATGGGCAGGGTTCAATATGGGCTCCACCAAGAGAACGTGAGTAGCTTCAATGATAGTTAATCCATTAGAACCTGTGTGCAGGGGCAGCAGCAAAATATTGATTTGGGGATCATGTTTAAATGCTGAAAGGTTCTCCTAAAAAAGAAAGGTACATTTAAATTTTAGCTGGATCAGTTAGAAGGAAGAGCAATATATTACAGCTCATGTTAAATATGCCTAATGGTATTGTGGAATATAATAGCTAAGAAAATTAAATGTAAAATTACTATTTTTAGAAAATGTAAACTTGTTGCTTGACTTTATGAGTACAAGTGTCTCCTAAGTTCTAGCTGAATCACTATGTGATGTATGCAAATTAAACTATACGAGCTGAGAGAAGAACAAGAGTAAGAATGTGTTAGAGCATGTATGATAAGAGACATGAATCTGCTCAATGTTCACTTGGTCTTTTTGTGTGTGTTTGCCTTGTTGGGTGTGCACTGTTATTGCACTGAGTGTGATGTAAGGACAATCTGACCACATGCAGTTTTGCCTGATGCAGTGAATTTAGAACCTAATCCCAGGGGCATGAGGTCTCAGTCCACTCAAAAGGTATATTATAGGCCATCTTTTGTTATATTAAAGAAATGTACCTCAAGTCAGAAGAAATCATGCTATGGGTATAACTGAACAGAAAGAAAATAACTATAGTTTCTCTACTTTGCTTTATAATTAATCAAGACACAAGGCAATAAATGAAAGTAAGCTAGTTAACAGAACTTTCCATTTGCAACTGAACCCACTTGAAAAAACATGAGAAGATCTTGGCATACCTGAAATGTCTTCACACGACTGATCTGTGCAAACTCCATGTTGTTGTCAGTGAGAGCTTTTGAAATAATATCTAATACATCTTGCCACTAAGAACACATAAAATAAGAAAATATTTATACATCACTTTCACATTAAGAGAATTGAAAAGGAACTAAGTCAAAATAACTTTTGTACCTCAGAATTAAGTAAACACAAAACCAAAACCTTTAAATGAAGTACCATCAATATTATTTAATACTATATTGAAATGGTAGTGTTTTTATTTTTTTTAATCAAATGCTAGTTAAAGATAGGGTAAAGAAAATAATCATCTTTGAGAACTGAATTAAGTATAAATAATAGAAAATTAATAATGGAGTGCTTAATGAATGTGGTTATTTATCTTTCCAAAAGGAAAACTAGAATTTTTATTCAGTTGATTATTTATCTTTCTCTTAAACAATCAAGTTCATTTGCGAAATGAGACTTTCAAGGTACCAGATTCCAATTTTTAAAAATATTAATATAAGAAAATCCCCAAGTAAAAGGAATATAAAAACACGAAATGTAGCTATTGGAATTGTCTTGTGAAGCATCATAAAATTCTATAAAAATAATTCTATCGTATGGACATAGAAAATAATCTATCAGTAATTCTAAATCCTACCTATATTATGGCAAACTTTAATAACTAGTTCTCAGATATAAAATGATTAGACAGAAAGCCAGTCAGTGTTAACAGTGAGGATGAAAATGCTCATTATACCGTTGAGAAAACGAGTGCTTTAGCTTCTGGATCTCTAAGCTGGATTCTCATCAGAGTTCTGACCACAGCTTCCACTTTTGTAGAATGACTACCCTTTGAACACAAAGAAGAAAACACATTATTACCAAATAAAATTTAGTTAACAGAAGGGAAAACCATTATAAAACACTTTTATTACCAAAACTATATGATAGGTACATATGTGTTTATCCCTTTTTATTTTGTATTTGCTGGGAATTTTCTTTAGCCTCAAAAGTGTACAAGTTATGGAATTTACACCCTGAGAGAATCTATATAATAAAAGCCTAAGTGACCTTTACAGTGGAACGACCAGAACAACCGGTCCCTATGATGTCCACTGACCACCAGGGGGCAGACACTCAACACAGGAGCTGCCCCCTGGTAGTCAGTGTGCTCCCACAGCGGGAGCGCCGCGGACTGCGAGAGGGCGCAGGCTGGGCTGAGGGACCCACCCCCAGTGCACAAATTTTGTGCACTGGGCCTCTAGTCTATATATGTAAAAGGCTAATATGCTAAGTGTCTGAACATTCGACTGTTCACTATGACACGCAGTGACCACCAGGGTGTGGATGCTCAACACACAGGCATGGAAACATGGAACAGACTGATGAATCTCAAAAGAAAGGGGGGAAAGGGGAGGGCGGGAAAAGAGGAAACAAAGATCTTATATGCATACAAGAGGCCCGGTGCACGGATTTGTGCACCAGTGGGGTCCTTGGCCTGGCCTGCAGGGATTGGGTGGAAACCGGTAGTCTGACATCCTCCGAGGGGTGCCGGATTGTGAGAGTGTGCAGGCCAGGCTGAGGGACCCCACTGGTGCACAAATCAATGCACCGGGCCTCTAGTCTACACTAATAAAAGAGAAACATGGTAATTGGCGTACGACCGCTACCCTTTTCATTGGCTAATCAGTGAGTATATGCAAATTAACTGTCAGCCAAGATGGCGGCCGGCAGCCAGGCACTGAAGCGAGCAGGGAGGCTTGCTTGCTGCAGACTCCAACGTTCACCGCCTCACTTGCCGGCCTCTCATTTGCAAGTCTAAGCAACTATATACTATGTTGCAAATAAGAAGCTAAACAAAACCCCAGAAAA